ACTCAGCTTCATCGACTCATGCAAGGATGTCACGGGCATGCTGATTCTCTATAAGCTGGTTCTCATCCAACACTACACACGGCTAGAGATATTCGGCTCAGGATCGGAGCGAAAGAGCCTGGTGTCCAGCTGTATCAGCTGGTTGGCACCCTATTGGGGTGCGACAGGTTCTGTATCGGACCTCTACCGCGACCAGGTCCGATTGTGTTGCGCGATCGTGGCGGAGCTGTTGAAGCAACCAGACCCGTACCTGTACGAGTTCGTACCGAAGATTGTGTCCTCATACTATTCCATCATCCCCGACGGTGTTGAGGAGACGACCTACCTTTCTTTGCTCTTCAGCAAATCATTTCCGTTCCAGGTTAAATCCTCCAAGCACTCTCAAAAATTCGACGAAGCGCTGGTGGAGCTGTCCGCAGTTCTGGCTGGAGCGGCGACAATACCCAACCCCAAGCGGCCCCGGCTGAAGGGCCTAGAGCTCTCCAGTTTCCTTACACAGGCATTTGAAGTACACACTTCGATCCTCAACTGCGAAGCGTATCCTGAAAGCTGGTTCAGCGTTCATGTCTACAACCACCGGGCGACTGTCAAGAGTCTGGAGTATCTGGCAACCATCTTGACCAATAAATTTCTTCCATCCCCGGATGATGCGGAGACGTTCGATACGAGACTATGGGAGACATTCTTCATGACTTTGCTCAAGGTTGTCTCGAGTGATGCTCTTGCTCTTGAGACCTACCCCGAGCAGAAGCGACGCGCCATCTGGAAGATCGCGGGCGATGTCCGGGAACAGGGTGCGGACTTGCTACACTCCAGCTGGGAATCAATCGGCTGGGAAACCACTGATGAGGAGAAAGAACAGTACGGGTTGAGTCGGTTGGGCGGCTATCAGGTGCAGTATGTTCCTGGCCTGGTAGCACCCATAATTGAGCTTTGTCTCAGTGTCCATGAAGGACTACGGCACGTGGCCGTCGACATCCTACGGACGATGATTCTGAGCGAATGGAGTCTGAACCAGGATCTCTCTATAATCGAAACGGAGGTTATTTCCAGCTTGGATAATCTCTTCAAGAGGAAGAACATGAGCGAAAGTGTTGTGCAGAAACTATTTATCGCTGAACTGTCAGATCATTTTGAAAGCTCCGCAGACTACGACGAAGACCTATCCAATGCGGTCAAAGCCCTGATCGCGACGGTGGATGAGCTCCTCGACCTCTTCGTGGCCTCCCAAGGAGGCTCGATGGCCGAGAGCCTACACACTCTTCGGTTGATGAAGTACATGAAAGACATGGGTCGTGAAGATATCTTCATCCGCTACGTCCACGAGCTCGCTCAGGTGCAGGCTGCAGCCGGAAACTTCACAGAGGCCGGCCTGGCCCTTCAATTCCATGCCGACCTATATGATTGGGATCCGAAGCGGATGTTGCCTGAGCTGCTCAACCCGCCTTTCCCAGAGCAGACTTCTTTCGAGAGAAAGGAGGCCCTTTACTTTGCGGTTATTCAACACTTCGAGGACGCCAAAGCCTGGGCGCATGCACTGGTGTGCTATAAGGAACTCGCGCAGCAGTACGAAGACATTGTGGTGGATTTCGCCAAGCTCTCACGAGCACACGGCTCCATGGCCAAGATTTACGATCTCATCTCAAAGGAAAGCAAGCAGTTCCCGCGGTACTTCCGTGTGCAATACAAGGGACTCGGGTTCCCTACCACTCTTCGTGATAAGCAATTCATCATTGAGTGTGCACCGACGGAGCGTATGGTCTCTTTCATTGACCGTATGCAGCGAGAGCACCCGGCTGCGCAGGTCGTGTCTTCCGGAGAAGTGCATGATTACGAGGGTCAATACCTGCACATCAATCCTGTCAGTGTTCATCGCGACGTGGATCATCCGGTCTACCAACGATCGAAGATCCCGCAGTCCGTTCGAGACCATCTTCTGGTGTCGGAGCCCTGTCACTTCAGCTCAACCTTACGAAAGCACGTTCGTGACGTGGATGTCAAGGAGCAGTGGGTTGAGAAGACGGTTTATACCACTGCCGAGCCTTTCCCGAACATCCTCCGCAGAAGTGAGGTGGTTGAGGTGAAGGAAGTTGCACTGTCGCCTTTGCATACGGCGCTCGAACGGACGTGGCGCAAGACACATGAGCTGTCCATGTTGCAGCGTCGGGCGGCCTCCGGGGAGGACACAGGCTTTAACAACCTCAGCGAGGCTTTGGAACAGTTGCTCGACCTTCACGCAGCCACCCCCAACTGCGTTGCTGCTTATCGCCCTTTCTTGTCTGATGCGCATGAAGAGGAGGAGGGTGGCTTAGTGACACCGAAGCCGGTCGACCCAATGAAGAATGCACTGGCAGTGGCCCTCATCGACCATGCCTTGGCTATCAAGCAAGCGCTGGCCTTGTACCACCGGCCGGCGCATCAGGCTACGCAAGCCGAGTTGACGCGCCGTTTCGAGGAGGCATTCGGACCGGAAATCTCTTCGCTCCGTCCGGCAGAAATTGAACAGACGCCTCAGTGGCCTCGGCGTAGCACTCCGGAGTCCATCAAGGAACGCCAGAAGCCGCCTGCGTCGCGGGCGCTCAGTCCCGAGCAGGAACTGATTCGCTCTTCGCGGAAGAACCATAGTCGCAAGCACTCTGCCAAGCAGTCTGTCAGTCACCGGATCAGTGTCATGAACCCTTTCAAGCGCGGCAATCACGCGGCGAGCAATTCGGTGTCTACTGTGCAGGAAGATCCAAAGCCGCAGTCGGATACCAAGGCCAATGGCACAGCCACAGAGGAGCACGTCAACGGGGAGGTCGACCAGGATGATGCAGCCACCATCCACAGCCGAACGACTACTCAGTCGCGAGACACCCATCACAAAAGACGGAGCCGACTAGGCGATGTGCTACACAAGCACACATCATCATTGTCGATAAGCGCCAGCGCGACTGAAGAGAGCCAGAGCCAGAAGAAGCAACGGACAAGAAGTGCTTCTCGCGACACGGCAGGCAAGTCGCACGACAGCGTGAGTCGGACCACCTCCCACACCAATGGGACATCTGCGGATGATCGGCCATCCGTGAGCAGCCATAAGGGCGGATGGTCGACGATTCCTTCGATCACCGACTACCCCCGACCGGTGACGCGGAGCAGTGTCAATTCTGTTCGCAGCCCTGAATTGATGAGTCCGGTCAGCCAGAGCGGCGGCATGCGCGACTCCGTGTTCAAGCGGTTCAGTCTGCTCAAAGGGGTCAGTCGCAAGGGTAGCCGCTTAGATTTCCGGACGGAGACGCCCGTGCGTGAGGAGTGATACCTCGCGGACTTCTTTTTTTCTTCCTGATAATGTCTGGACATTCATCATTTTTGCATTCTATTTCATTCAGCGTCGACATCGGCATTGTCTTGCATTGCAGCGTGGAATCCGGCCGGTTGCACAGTCATTATACTTCACTTCTCTGGTTGGACATTATTACATTTTAAAGCACTTTCATTTCTTGACATATCCAGGCATGATATACATTTTTAGTGAGATACCTACTTCACTTCTCTCCCTTCTGTTGGACATCTCGTTTGTTGGACTGTACATGTATATTATTATGCCATATCGGTGATTGTACAGGTAGCTGCATTGCAATGAACAGCATCAGTGTAACATTAATATTAACAGTGTTGAGTAACTACCATGTCACAAACATAAGTGACAGCCATTAAGAATAAACTATATACTGGAACCGAACTCATAGACAGACCACGTACCATCAAGGCACCTACTCAGTCGGCAAATCCATCTCCACCACCCACGGGGCATTAACAGCATGATACTGCACCGTCACCACACTCGCATTAACAAACAACGTCTCCTCCCCAACCCTCAACCCATTGCCCCCTTCCCCACTAACATCCACCCTCGCACACCGTTCCTCCAACGTCCTCTCCTTATCACACTGAATCACACTCTCATTCCCCGAACTCCACTCCCTCCTCGTCGCCCCATACCCCTCATGAATGTGTCCAAACACATGTAATCTCGGCCTCGCCCTCTTCACAGCCCGATACAAATGCTCACACCCCACACTCATATGATTCGGCACTACCTGATCCAACACCCCATACGGCGGTCCATGCGTAATCATCACATCCACCCCGGGGTAATCCGGCACCACCTTCCTTATCCCCCCATCTCCATCCCCACCCTCCTCCTCCTCCTCCGGAGGATTATACCTATCAACCTCCCTCGGATACGCAAACCCCCACTGACAAAACTCCGGGGTATACGGACTGGCATACACCCTCAGCACAGCGCCATTCCCCAAGCGAAACACATGCATCCCTTCCTCCAAATACCTAATCCCTGCATCCTGTGCCTCTTGCCCCGTATACAACTCCTTTATCTCCCGTAACTCCTCATCGGAGAGCCCCTGACCGGGCGTGAGTTTCCCCGCGGAGACGTTATCGCTTCCGGCGGTGGCGGACGGCGCTGTGTGGTCGGTGCGGTAGCGGTGGCGGTAGTGCCCGATACGCTTGTAGTACGGCTCGTCGAGGGTGATGTCGTGGTTGCCTGGGATGATGAGTTTTAGGGGTGCGGGGGCGGATTGTAGGAAGGAGAGCGTCGTGAGGTGCTCGTGCTTGTGTCCGACTTTTGTGAGGTCGCCGGCGTGGATGAGGAGGTCGGTGGCGGGGAGGGGGTGTCGGTAGGGGGTGCTGCTGGGGGGGTGCGTGGGTGGGGAGGGGGTGAGGGTGTGGGTGTCGCTGAGGAGGAGGATTGAGGTTTTGACTGTTGTCATTGTTGGGTGGTTGATTGTGTTGATTGTGGTGGTTGTGTTGAGGTAAGGTGAGGTGGGTGGGAGGGTATTGGGTAAGGGAGGGAAGTATATAGATGGAAGGTGTGGTGGTTACATCAATGGTAGGTAGTAGGTATGAGGGGTTAATTAACTAAGTTAACTAGTAGGTAGAGGTAGGTAGAAGGTTTCGTCATCGGATAACAAGGTAGTGCTAGTGACTTAGGTTGGTATGAACTACACTACGGAAGTACACTACAGTACACTACAATTGATCCCTGCTAAGGACAGAAAGTGTGAACATCTGATTCATCCATCAATTCAGAGCTAATTTTCTGGAAAATGCTAACTCCGATCCATCCAGCCCTTTTAACTTAACAACCACACAACGTGAACTATTCGCTTTTGTGTATTGGATTTCTTTACTTGCGGATAGCACGCTGGTAGAAAGCCAGCTCCTCACCCTCCAGGATGTATCCGTCCACGCGGCCGCTCTGGCCGGGGCGGGACGACACAACAGCGTACAGACGACCGGACTCGAACTGACGCTCAACAGCAGACTCGACCTTGCCCTGCTCAGCAAAGCGAGCAGCCTGCTTCTTCACAACGCTGTTGGACTTCTTCTCCTCGGTGGTCTCGGTCTTCTGCTGGCGACGACGGCCGATGGGCTGGCCGTAGTGAGCCTCGTACCATTGACGGAAAGGAGCAGCATCGATCTGAACGACGGCCGACTTGGTCAGGGTGTTGGTGCGGACGAGCTCGTTGTTGGAGGGGTGGTAGGCAACAACGATGACACGGGTCTTGCGGGAGATACCCTCAGAACCCCACGAGAAGTTGCCGGATTCGAGACGAAGGGCACGGAACTTCTGGTTACCACCACGGGTGCGGACCAGGTGGATTCTCTTGGTTCCGATACGGGTGTTGGAGGGCTGGCGACCCTTCTCGAACGCCCTGTTGGATTGCCGTGCGTCAGTCGTATTCTTTTTTCGTAGTGTGATGTACTGGGAATAGAGACAGTAGGAACTCATGCATACCTCTTCTTGCGGTAGGTGGCCCTCTTCGCGCCGGTAGCCGAGCGCTTGTGACGAGAGTCGCGTGAGATACCCATGTTTGCTGTTCGAGGGGACTGTAGATGACAGAAGTATTAGCGGGATTGCTCGCTAGTAGTAGCAATAGCAGTAGTAGACTGTTGTCGGTGATTGTCAATCCCTCTTTCGAAGAAATCTGTCCCAATGCGTCGATGGTTGTTCGTGCGATTACCGAGTCGATTTAGATTGATTTGTTTGGTATTGTGCGTTGTGTGTGGGTGTGGCGATGCTCGATGCTGGAAATGTGTGCGAATTCGGGTATGGACGAGAAAGCGAAGAAAAAAAAAATCTTTCTTTGAGTTGTTCTTTCTTTTCAATCGTCGTCGTCGCCGCCGCTAATATTTCCCTTGCACCAAACAACTGCTCTGATAATCTTTCTCTTTCTTCTTCCTCTTCGATATACCCCCGGAATGTATTCTTCAATTCGAGACCGATCGTAGATTGCACGCGCACACCGAGCGTCGACGACACCGGGAAAAATCGAGAGGGATCGAAATCACGACGGATTAATTGCAACAAACTCACCTCTAATCCTGCAGCCCTTCACCAGGAACGCAGCGGGCAAGGGTCGTTGGGTTGGTCGTAAGGAGTTGAGTGCTTGTCGTCGGCTTCCGTTGAATTTCGCACTGTGGCTCGCTTGTGGAAGTTGCCCTACTACCCTAGTCTGGGATTGGCTTAGTGTGGTCCCGTGATATGATGAGTAAGCCGCTAGTCGATGCCCGCTAACTAACCGATAAGCGATAAGCCACTGCGCAATAGAGCAAGACACTAGTCTAGTCTAGTAGTTCAATATGTCTTAATGTGTTGTGGTTCATTAATCCGGTAGATAGACAGACATGTTTGTTCTTCTCTGAATTACATACAATGTATCTGACTACTTCCGATGCTCCCTCTTCGCCCCCTCCTCCTTGACCATCCGATCAAACCTCATCCACACCGTATACCCCTCAATCAAATTCGACACCACCCAAGCGCACCACACCAACGACAACACCGGCACTCCATGCCGCCTCAACCTCTTCACCGTGAGCAAACTCGCCTCCACCACATGCGACCCGCCCATCACCGTAAGCACAAACGGCTGTGTCTTGTAAAACAGTTGCGCCAGTGGCGGAACCGCCCCCAGTCCCACCGTTTCGTAGAACAACGACCCAGGTAGGAAGTTACTGCGTCGAGAGAATGCCACCAATGCCGTTGCAAACACGAAGAAGAGGAAGATTTCTATCCCCTCTGGCCGCCGATACTCCTTGATGGTAATGTCCGACCGACCCAGTCGCGCAAGACATTCCTGGTGCATGGCTACCAGGCGGGATCGCGATTCGGAGAAACTTCCCATTGCTGGGTCGATGGGGACGGTGTAGCGTGTGCCATTGGCGCTGATGACGAGATCCGATAAGCTGATGTCCTCCAGGCGGGCGGATTTGGCTTCGCGCGCGGAGACGTGGCAGTAAACTTGGAGATAGGCTGCTAAGGAGTCTTGGTGGTTGGCGTTCATGTGGGTGATGGTGAAGGAGATGTTGGAGCGATCTGGTGCCATTTTTGTTTCTTGTCTGTTTGCCCTTTTTTTTTTTTTTTTTTTCTTCTTGCTTCCTTTCTTGTATTGGGTGGAATTTGGCGATTGATATATGGTGAGTAGTTAGGAAATGGCTGCTGGTGTGCGCGGGTTTAGACGATCAAGTGGTGGCAGTTTGCGAGACTCCTTTTTGATCCCGCCAAGAGTACCTCGGGATCGTCACCTTCATGATGGGCTCACCCCTTCCCGAGGAACTGGCACTCCGCAACGTTGAGGCCACACGTGAAGTTGTCTGCTCCTTTGATTTTTAACTTTATTGTTGGTGTTCTGTATTGCGTATATTTATTGAATATGGGATCTAGCTAATGTTGGTGTCATCTCAGTGCTAGAATTACTATATCATGGAGTAAAAGTCTCATTATATATTCTGAGCACCTTGCTCCTTCTGCTGGTAACTATTGAACTAGCACACTTTTTTTTCCCTACTACTGCAGTCAATCATGACTCTTGCAGTTTAAACGTGACAATTAGAGCTACTGATAGGACCAGCACTTCTTCAAGCCATTATCTGTCACAATATTCAGTATACTACCGAACTTTATAGTGTCCTCCCAACCAGTTGACGCTGGATGTTACCTAAACTGGTCACTATAGTATAGCGATTACTCCCAGCAATACTGATAAACAGTTAAGAATCCTGAGTCAAGGCACAACTAATTCCACCGGTTCCCCCAAGAACAGCATACTTAAAACGGCGATTTCCATGTCTTGGACAGCCTCAATGCAAGTAGGGACATGCAATATCATACTGTGTAGTCACTAACTGATCAAAACATATGTATGCTCTGGAGAAGGTTAACAACTGGGTCGAAAGCGCGTTAATTGTCACGACCAACCGACCAATCGTGCATTGCAGTCGATTTCAACTCATAATAATTGCAGAGTAACGAATGATATCGTTGTTCGTATTAAATATTGACATTGAAGTTGTTAGTGGTGGAGACTCTATTCCAAGCAAAAACTAGCTGGCTACTCCAATGTTCTTCAACACGAATAGCTAAAGATAGGCTACAAGCTCTAACATGGAGCAGAGACTATTTCCTAGAAACTCAATAGTATATCATATAGCTAGACTATATCCCCCCTACCCTATAGGGTTGAATCTTTGAACTAAGTAGGAAGTATACCACAATCAACTAGACACTCAGGGCAGTCCATAACAATAGCAGCGAGTATAAATCTGGACAGTTGTTTCATTAGTCCTGACGACTATTGCGCAAGACAAATATCTTACTACCAAATCTCTGATAGGAATGTGTTGGCTATGATAACCCAGTGGTGTCACTGATAAGAAAAATAGGCAAACTGACGTACTGGATGTCTTGATATCTGACTTTCAGAATGTGGTAGCGTCAATTGAGTAATGAAAGTCTTGGGGATAATTTACTAGTAAGAGCACCTACTATCTTATGCTTAGGCTTACCTCTATCCAGAATACCTAGAAAGAACTACTCCACAACCTTTTACAAGAGATAGAAACTATATGAGGTATTCAGGATATATCATGTATCCAACACATATCAACAAGAGACTCAAGTGCCTCTTGGATATTGGAGAACCAGTAGATAGCATCTATACCTGTTACGAGACACATCAAGTAAAATAAATCCCAACATATTTCATTAATCATATGGAAGATTTTCTTCAGATCTGAACTTCCACGACAAATACCCACAAGAAGTGATGTACTGTATTGATGAATACGCAGTGTTATCCTATATCAAACAGCATGAGCCATGTCTTCTAGTTTCACAGCATTTCAATAATACTATGAACATTTCCTTTCATGCAGCGTATCACTACGCAAGGGTATGGTGGCGACGACATATGCATATCTGGATCTTATAAAAGAGAGCCTTTACAGATAGCCTACTTGTCGTCAGTTTCCCTGACTCGTATAAGTTAGAGTTTTATATGGACATGTTCAGTATGTCATGATTACTTCGTGTAGGGCTGAATCAGGTAGGTCATTTTGAATGTAATTGGAAGTATGCGAGGCATATTGTGATTTGGTATCATGTTAGTGAGTTCAGTTGCTCTGCAGTAGTTCCAGTCTAGTGCATTGACGTACGTCAGATTGATGGCTATCGCTGTGTCTTGCGAATAAGCATATTCTCTGACTATTGTGATAGTGTATACTACGGTCGGCGTTGCCGAAATACTTGCTATGCACACAAATGCACAGAGCACTACTGATAAACAAATCAACATTATAGTATATATTCGGAAAGAATGTATATCCTTCGTTATGATAGCTGCAAATAAACATCAAGCAAACCATACCAACAAAGGTATAAGTGCGCACAGACACTGAAATATGGAGTAGATGGGTCAAAATAAGCATCGGCATCAGCATCACCATAGATACGTAGAAATATCGCATACATCAGTACCCAAGTGCAGTCGCCACTTCTATCCGAACAATGGCAATGTAGAAAAAATGAATACAAGGCAATTCATTGCAAAATAACAACCGCTATTGTTGAGAGAAGAAGAAAAGTACCGAGGAAAATCCTTTCGTAAACGTCATAACGGAAACGGAACGGAATGGAATGAAGTGGATTTTGCGAGCGCCGGCCGAAATGGACGAAAAGTGCAACGATCGCCAGGAACCCGACCGACCGACCGACCGACCGTCAACCACACACGCGCCAGTAATGTGGCGAAAAGAGAAAAAGAAAAGAAACCCATTCTTATCCCCGGGGATTTATCGAACGAACCATTGAACTTATTCGGCCGGAAGATTGATTTGGTTCTATTCGACGACAACCGAACACGCTCGGGATTCGGCGACGGAGAAAAGACGGATGACCATGATAGAGATGCAGCGGTGCTGGAGGCAAAGAGGCAAGAGGCGAGAGGCGAAATCATGCGCTGGAAAAGAGAAGGGGTATCATGTCAACCATCGGATCTCGATCAAGTACTAGTAGCGAACGAGATTAAGTGATTTGATTGATTGCATTGCATGCATTTGGTCCGCACGCAGGCCAGATTCCCCGCCGCCGCAATCAATGTGATCAATCAGAAGCAGAAAAAAGGGGAGTACTTACAGCAACGACAACGTCAAGTCACCATGGATATGAGCCTTTAATTCGACTTCAATATCCAAGTTCAATTCCAATTTCAATTTCATTCCGTCTTGATCCTCCCAGTCATCGCCGGTTTTGCCTTCCGCTTCTTGCATACCGCCGTTTGCGATCGGTTGTGCCGGCACATTGTCGCGGCTGCTGATGGTGGTGGGCTGGTAGCGTTCCATGGCCTGGACTTCTTCTTCCTCGTCGTCGTAGTAGTCATCATCTTCATCGTCGTAGTCATCGTAGTCATCCGAGTACTCATCGGAATAGTAGGTATCGTCTTCATCGTTGGGGTCTTGCTGCCGGGGACGACGACGACGGCGTTGTTGTTGTTGCTGTTGTTGTTGAGGCTTTTGTTGGGTGTCATCGTCAGAATAGTCATCCTCGGAATCGTAGTCGGAGACATCATCAGGATCATTAGCAAAGGTTTTGGTGGCTGGTTTCTCAGCCTGAGCGGTAGCCATATTGATCTAGTAGTAGATTGTGGGGGATGGAGTAGTAAACGGGGCAGAAGATGGGATGGCGGGGTTGTGGTGACTGGTGAGAGAGAGATGTAATGGATGTGGGATTGATATAATTTCCTACCAGCCCGAAGTGACTGTTAGATTTGCAGAAAGCGGGCAGAGCGGCATGACTTGGTTTACATACAAAAGGGATCCCCGAATGCGGGAGGCGAAGAAGAGACTGAGGGAAGTAAGTAGTGGCCAGTCTTCGTTAGGATTGCTGGATGGGGCAATTCGTCAGTCGGCCGGAGTGCGGACACAACAGACAGACAGAGAGAATAATAGTACTAAATTGTACATGCAAAAATTGGAAAAAGGGAGTAACACTCCGGAGGGAAACGAAGGGAAAAACCTAAACTCTAGAACAAAAAGAAAACGAAAACCAGAAAATGATGTATGGCCGTTTGTTTGGAGGTGTGGAGAAATGAACGTGCAGGGCTGGAGGATGGGAGGATGACGTTGTGGGCGCAGGGAGGAAGCGGCTGGGCGACTACACCTTCACCAATGATGCTCGGCCCTTCATTTAATTAAAATTGAAGACTTTCACCATGACTGCATCATCATCATCGTCAACGGCATTGTGTTCTGAGAAGATCCTCAAGTCAGCCGATGACGGTCGAGCCAGTGATCGTCATCGATGTCCACGTTGCCCGGACCCTCTTTTTCTTTGTATTTTCTATTTTCTATTTTCTACTCTGTGTCTCTGTAGGTGTTGTGTCTTGTGTCACCATCAATAACGTGCCTCCATCGCGACACTTCGGATACTCATTCCCTGATTGTGATACATTTGGACCATGGAACCCTCGTCTGCATTGCCGCCGGCCGAAACGTGTGATCCAAGAAACCTCCCGCCAACATCCACGGTTATCCCTTGAAAGTCTCGCGGCAACTGTATCCGAGTCGCCATATACCGGGATATTTCTTTGCCATGAACTTGAAGGCAGAAGAAGACAAAGAAAATAACCTAATAGACACAGTTACTGTAGACTAAATCAGTAAAAACAGAGAGGGACCAAGTTAAACCTAAGTCTGACAGGCTTTCAGGTGGACCAACTAAACCCAGTCAGTGCACTGACGTCGTATAGTGGATCCAGCCCAGTCACAGACAAAGAAGATGAAGATGATCCCAGAAAGATTACGATGCCCTTTAGCGATCCCGGCCGAAGTGCGACGATCTCTCCAATAATTCTCCGATGTACTAAATTAAAAGTAAAAGATACTAGTCAGTAAGATGTAGTAGGGACTCCAGCCACGCGACGTCATCATCATCATCATCGTCATCCATCATTCATTCATCTTGCCTGCAAGGTGGAGGATGAGTGGCACAAATGACATACTGGCTTGATCCTTTCCCCCCATATTTTTTTTCTTTTTTCTTTTTCTTTTCCATACATCGACTGACGTCGCCTCCGCCCCCCTCCCTCATCTTTACTTTCACTCTGCTCGCTACTCTCTCTCTCTCCCTTGCGTATTTCCACGGGTAAGTTTCAACCTGCATCTATAAATATTGCCCGGCCATTGGACGGTCCAGCCGAGCCCTATATAGTGTACGTCCCCGTGCCCCAGACCGCCGCTGAAGTATTAGATCTCGTTGATTTCCCTTTCCTCCTCTTCTCTTTCTCTTTCTTTCATCATGTCTGATCAGTCCAAGCAGCCTGAGTCTTCTTCTACCAATAACCCTTCCCAAGAAGGAGAGAACAATACCTCTACCCCTTCCTCCCCTCAACAAGAGAACCCTCCTACTGGTGATCAGGAAGAACAAGAGCAGAAGCCTGAGGATAACACCGACAACAACACCAACAACGACACAGAAGACAAACCCAAGGAAGAGGACAAAGAAGAAGACCCTCAACCTAAACAAGAACCTCAAGAAGAAGAAGAAGAACAAGACCCCCAACCCAAACAAGAAGAAAAAGAAGAAGAAGACACCAAACCCCCCAAACAAGAACCCCAATCTTCCGACTCCGAAGCAGAACCAGAGCCAGAACCAGAACAACGCGCCCCCCAACCCACCAACAACCAAGACCGTAAACGTCGCTCCCGACCACCCCAGAAACTCCGCCAAAGAGACGAATACTCCGACATGGACAACAACAACCAACAAGTAGACCGCCCCCGTCGCCAGCGCCGCCAGCGTCCCCAACAGCAACAACAAGGCCAGGACGGCGGACCCCTGGGCGGCCTCCCCGGCGTGGGCCAAGCCGGCGATCTCGTCCAAAACACAGCAGGCAACGCACTGAACGGAGTAACAGGCAGTGCGGGCAAAGCTGTAGGCGGGATCCTCGGTGGAGGCGGCGGCGGGGATGAAAAGGAAGGCAAGGATGAGCAGTTGAGGTTGAGACTTGATCTCAATTTGGATATTGAGGTGCAGTTGAAGGCTAAGATTCATGGTGATCTTACCCTTGGGTTGTTGTATGTTTATCCCTCTCCCCCATCCCCTTTTTCTTTTTTCCTCCCCCTCCCTTCTTTTCCCGTTGATGCCCATGCCCCTGGGTTGCAACTTGATATAAAACCCACCCTATTATGATTTATCTGATATACATCAGTTCGTGAAATCGAGCGAGCCGATATACTATTACTACTACACTATACACATACATACATCTTATATATTGGGACATACGTGACTAATTCGTGCGGATAGGAACTGAGTGTGCTGAAGATGGGGTAAGAGTACTGGGATTTTCTTGTTGGAAAAAGTCAGTCTCGTTGGTTTGAAGTGTTCAGTTACTAGTTACTATCCCGCTCGTGTGGTCTTACCGTGGTGTTCTGCTATACTCTTTCTTTCCTTGTTATTTGTCTTCGATGATGATGCTTTGATACGATACCTTTCGTCTTACTACAACTATTACTACTACTTGACCGACTTGTGGTTTTCTTCATCATACATATGTTACTATGTTATGTCATGTTATTTATGTTCATGATGTGACTTGTTGCTTGATACGGTCTAGATCTGGTTGTGGTTGGTTGTCTTTTTATTTTCATAACGCGATTGATGAATGATGATATTGCTTACTTTCTTTTCTTTCCTTTCTTTTCTTTTCGTGTGTTATGCATGAGCAGGTGCAGGAGCTGCTTTCTGTGTCAATGGTGCTTGCTGTACAGACCTGTACTTTCTATCATACTACCATTCTCTTTTTAATGGTCAGTAGTTACTAGTACAGGATAATGAATTGAGTCTATAGCCTACATCTCCTAATTCTATAGCTTCAAACTGGTATATTTCTATCGTTCATCATCTAGCCAAGCGAAAAGAGAAGAAGAAAGTAGATCGGGACCATCACCATCCAGTATAACCATAAGCAACATCCACCATAAAAACGCACCATCTAAATAAGCATGCCCAGACCAGATTGCGCCGCGTGGCTAAATCAGCTCACATCAGGCCTATTATCTTTCGCGTTCCATCACATATAAGGTAAACCAATAACAAAGCAAAGCAAAGCAATTAGTGTAAGATGTCAGGTAATAACAGCTCACAGTCCAGCAATGTACATCAACCCATATCCTACCGTTACTATCACGGCAAAGGACATCAAGCTGGCGGGGATACCGCGGGTGAAGAAATGACGGACTTGCAGATACCGCTGACCCGTCTGGGGTACCTCGGTCATGATGGCCGCTGCGAGTTGTCAGTACATATATACTTATCTGGTATTGTTAGTGGAGGGCGACTTACTCATGTTAGGGAAGCCACTTGTAGGCAGAGCCATGGCTACCGAACACATCAATGCGCTCGCCATCACGAGCAGGTTCGGGTGCGGGTCGTCCATGCCGAGTCCGATCTGTCGCACAAGCGGGAGCATGATCAAGGCGGCCACAGTGTGGGAGATGAACGTGGCAATGACCAGGATGAGGGCGGAGAACACAAGCAGCACACCATAAAGACTCAGATGCTCCACCCGCAGGCGGATGGCATTCGCAAGGGTGTGAAGGAGCCCCGAGGACGTGACGGCTTTTCCGAGGCAAAGACCACCAGCGGCCAGAATGATGATCGTCCAGAGGAAGTTATTGAAATCCTCTTTATTAAGGATACCCGTGCCGAAAAACAGGACCATCGGAATAATGGCGATAACGCCCATGTCTCCGAAAATATGCTCGAGTTGGTGACTGCCACACCACAACGCGATGGTTGACAGCGTGACAATACTGATGAACCACTGAACTCCTGTGAACTTGTCTTTCAAGGGACGGATGGCGACGGCCCTCTCGCGACCGGGCTTGAAGGTAAGCACCAGAAGCATCCAGATCGCGACAATGGAGAGAATGCACACTGGCAGTGAGATGAAGAACCAGGTCCCCCAGCTCATGCTCGGATAAATATTCTGCAAAGCGATGATGTTTTGAGGCGATGCAATTGGCGACGCGGCACCGCCCACGTTAGCGGCCAAAGCAATACCTAGGACAAGGGACTTGGCAAAGCTGGAATCGGGCGCCAGATTACGCAATAGAGGCTGGATGATCGAGTAGCAGAGCACCGGCGAGGCAACATTGCTGATCCACATACTCAGAAACATGCTCACAAACATGTTGGTGAGCAGCAAGATGTTGGGATTGGACCCGGCTTTACTCAGGACGAACATGGCCATACGACGAGCAATATCGTACTTGGACAGCGCTGCAGCGATGGTGAAGCCTCCAAGCAGCAGCATGATGACTGGCGTCCACATGGCGCTGAAAGCAGCGGCGGTGGCTTCCTTCGCGCCTAAGCGTTCGTGGGGCTTGTTGTCGGATAACATGATACGGAGCATCACGACGAGGAAAGGAATGAGTAGCGATGTGACGAATAGAGGAATAACCTGCAGCGACAGACTCCAAGGTTAGCTATTGAAGAAGGATGTAGGGGATGAACCGACCTCTGTAGCCCACAGCAAGCTGACGAAAACAAGCATGGCCAGACAATTCTGCTGTTCCGGCTTCTCCATTATCGGGACGGACAACAAAATGCCAAAGGCAAGCAGGATGAGAACAAGGGTGACGAGACTCAAACTACAGAGCCATTGTGGAATTCGGATGACTCCAAACGGCGTCCTGAGCATCTTGGACACCACTTCCTGCTCGTCCCCCTGGCGTCGAGCTCTGGAAGGATCCTCGTCTCCGCCCAGAAGCGTCCTGCGAATACCGACGTTCGCAGCCTGAGCCTTCCTTTCGATACCAATCATCTCTCTCCAGACCGTGTTTCGCTCCCAAACAACATGTTCCCTGAGGTGCAGGCGGAGTTCACGTTTGGCGAGGGGAATGTTACCGGTGGTGACGACATTCGCGTAGACCTCTTCGACTTTGCGAATGTTGTCATCCACCTTTTCCATGGTAGAGTCTTTGAAGGGATACGTTAAAGACACGACGGAATTCATATATTCCCGACGCAGATTGCGGTCAAGGATCTTATCGTACTTCTTCAGCGCCTTGGAGAATCCGGTCTTGTTAAGCTGTATGTACGACTTGAGTCCACAGATGGAAACGTAAGTCGCAACAGCCCGCTTCTTCAGCGAGAGCCCCGAATTGTAGAGATCTACGACAATTGGATCTGAAAAGTGCTCGTCGTGTGCACCCCCGCGGTGCGCGGACGGACCGCTGTAGCCCAGAATCCGGGAATCGGCACCCCAGAGCACCGAGTCCCTCATGTCGTCCGTACGACTACCATCCGGATTGCTAGACTCAGCGCCATGCGACTGCGGTCGATACTGATGCGCGGGTTCGTCGTCACTGTCTGCATCGTCATCGTCATCATCGGCCAGTGTTTCACTGAATGCGCTATGACGCCGTTCCTGGTTCGATGGCACCGGACGAACAATGCTCCCAGGCCGCTGTCTGGAGCTTGAACTGGCTGTGCGACCCTTGATCATGGCATCACTCATGGGATCGACGTTCATCGTATCGGCCCTGTGCGCATATTCCTCGGCATCTCGGAGGACGTCCTCGACCTCTGTAAATATCTCCGCCTCCTTGGATTGATAAAACGAGCAGATCTTCTCCAACTCTGCATCCAGAGCCCGACGAAATATCGCATCAGTGTTCAGACTGCCGCCATCTAACAATGGCGCTTGTTCAACATCTACATGGTCATGTCCGGCCGATCGATGCACTTCCTGTTCTAAGGAGTAAATCCTGAACATTGGACAACAGTTAGAGGGATCCATTCAACAGAGAGAATTTCCGCCAATGTAACATGCAGTCTCGGAGTGTAATGTGACATTCGCAATAAAGGAAGAAAATTCCCCCGGCGGAGGACAAGAGAGAGAGAGAGACAGAGAGGGTAGACGTACAGTTTCTTGAGATTGCTGTAAGCCAGATAATAAGCACTCCAGTCCGGCACCGCATTGAACTGAATGCTATGTGAGAACTTCATCTTGTCGGCGGAACCGCTATTCTGGTGGCGGTGAGGGTGACGACGAAGAGCTTCTATCCAATATTTGATGATAACCGGTTTGTCCCACGGTGTAGACTTCTGAGGATGACCTTCCCGGTGGTCTGTACGATGGTAGGGAGGAAATTCAGACCCCGGGTCAGTCAGCTGGGTAGGAGGAAGAGTCGCGTGAGACTGGCGGGCAGTTGTGGCAGGTGTGTCAGGATACTGGCCGAGTTCGATGGACTGGCCACTTGGGGTTACGTCGTTATCGTCGGGAGAGGCACCCCTCGCAGAAGCGATGCGTGCCCAGGTTCGATCGCCGGCATTCGACGACACGGTGTTGGACAGGAAGAAAAAGAGGCAGGGAAGAGCGGGGCAGCAGAGACAGCGGCCGGAGACTGTCCAGCGTATTTGTGCGAGGGTGTTGAATGGGCGACGTTCCACGTTCTCAGGTCGTGCCGCTAACGCTAGCTAGTTGATGGTCGTGTATACTAGCCTGGTAGTTATCTGCAGTGCGTTGGTCGTTATCGGGAGGACGAATAATGAAGCACGGGACGCCAGCAGGAATAGTTAGTACAGTACTATACCCGATCGGCGTCAGACTCTCCTTCCCCACGCGTCTAGAACAGGGATTGCACCCGAACCAGCTGTCAATGAAGCATGCCGCTTAACACGCCAATGGAAAGATGCCTGTAGGAAATGAAGTGCATCCTACAGATCGCGAGGAGGCAGGCAATGCGGATCGGTGAAGCTACAGATAAGCTGCTTTCCGGGGACCAGAATTGGCCAGAATTGGAGAGGGTCCCAGCCGCGACTAGCGCTGTTAGTCATCGCCCGTGCCATTGGCTCGTGGCCAAAGTCGAGGACTTCATTAGTCGCATCACTCACTCTCACTTTAGCTAGGCTATAAACTAGCAGTAGTAAGTACTAGTAGTCAGATATCTCCTCTTCAATCAATTATGCGTAAATTTTCTAATCCAAATGCTTTCAAAACAGTCAAAGAAAATGAGGTACAGGTTTCAGATAATATACAACACCATCCAACCATCCATCTCTCTAGCTCCCCTACTGCATACCATCATAGGTACAATGTAGCCGAACGCCCTCTGATATCATCACAGTAGAAATGGGACTCTCTCGCCATCCCTCACGCAAGTAAGCTAGAATAAGTACACTACCTCCGGCGCGCAACCAATCCAAGGTTAGAACGGCCAGCCACACCAAGCTTGTGCACCTGCTCTCTCTTCTCCCACACTCCACTGCGGCCCTCAGCAACAGCAACCAGCTCGTTAGCCACGCGCTGGCCAAACAGACTATCCTTACGCTTGTCAGAGGCATCAATGATCCACTTGATCGCGGTTCTCCGGCGCTGTCTCAGAGCGAGAGGAGAAGGGACCTGCACAGACACACCACCACCAACGATACCCTTCTGTTGACGGAGCTTGAGCAAAGGCGCGACAGAGTCGACAATCAAGGTGAGATAGAGGACGGGGTTAAGAGGGAGCTGAGGAGCGGGAGGGCCCGGCAGCAAGCGGCGCCGGGGGTTGATGTTCGGGGGAGGAGCAGTGCGCAAGTGATCCAGAATGAATGCCATAGTCTAATCCAGAAAACCAGTCAGTCTAAGTCCTCTCAAATAAGAAAGTTCCCCTGCAGAGTAAACATACGTTCTGAGCCTTGCTCAGCTTGCCATCTTGCATAAGCAGCTTAGTGAACTGCTCCACTATCGTCTCGTATCTCTTGCGGAAGTTCTCAGTCTTGGGAAGGTTCTCGGGCACTTCGAACTTAAGTCCAGGGTGCAATTCGGTGGCCTGCTGGTTGACCTGGGAGATCATGTTGGCAACGACCGACGCCGAGGCATCATCGAATTCCTTTCCCTGAAGTTCTGGCTGCAGGCGGCGAGCGGACGTCGAGAATGAACGGCTACCGGAGGGGCGCTTCATCTGGTCTTGCATGACCTTGGGCATATGCTTCAGGGCCTCCTTATCACGTTGCAGGATCTATGCGGAGATAATAGTCAATATACAGGACCCAGATACCGCGGAACAAGCAGCCGCAGCAGCAACAGCCACAACACGGCGTCCCAGATGGATCAACACACCTCAGAAATAGGCGTTCCCTGTTCCAATTCAGGACTGGCTGGGGTACCATCGCACTTCTTATCCATGATCTTGCTGACCTCCGCGGCCTCTTCGCTAACATGGGGCAAAGGGTCCTCGGTCGGGCCCTTGGGTCTATCTTGACCATCAGAGCCCGAGGAGTTGCACCTCCTCTGCGTCCGAACAGAAGCCGACAGGCCAGACTTCAAGCCATGGCCAGTCGAGGCCGCGCAAGGCCGATTGGTGTTGAGGATGGTCGCAAAACTGCGTCGGGAAGCAGCCGAGCTGTTGGTGGACTGACGAAGAACGGGGACCGCCCGTGCGGTGAAAAGGTTGAGACGCGGCGGCATGGTGTGATATAGGCCCTCAATGAACAATCAATGTCAAGGAGGATGGCAGGTGAGGAAGTCACATCGACCCGAATCTGGCTCTCTTGCCTTGGAGGCCGGCGAACGATTTTCCTCTCCACAACCGCGGCTGAGTCATCCACCGCGCCAAGAATTTCCTTGGATTGCAGACATGATGGAATGCCTCCACAGTGATGATGACGGGGTGACGATTTCTATCGCTTTATCTACTACTAATCTCTACGGGATAATCTGCATCTTATGAGAGTTTAAGTTAAATGTCCGATATATGATTGCAAATCTGGCAAAAGCGTTTTAGTATTCCTGATTAACCCGTTTTCCGGTCTGCAGCACAGACACAAGTCATTGGCGACTTTTGAAAACTCGGCTCTTGGCCTATTGAAATACATAATTGTAGCCCGTCTGGCATACAGTGGCACTGACCCGCAGCTTGAATGAAACACAAAAGCACCTCCCATAGTAAAACGTGAAAAATTCCCAGAACAGCATCCGGGCATGTCTGTACAAAGCCCAACCGAGGAAGCTAGCTCGCTTGTTACACGGCATACTCGAGTTAAACAACATTAAGGAGAGACGAGGAAGAAGTAGATAGAAAATGAGAAAGTGAGCGGAGATGCTGGTAGGCAGCAGCTCAATAAGTGCCCAACCCATTAAACAACATATTAGTGGTTGAACAGGGCGTCTTCGTTGACATCGTCTGGGTAGATGTAGAAGGCAATTGCCAGAATTAGATACCTGTGACGGGTTAGTGAAGGCTCCTAGGCGAGTGAAAACATAGCAGTATAAGAGCAACTTACATTCCCAAGCACAGTCCACCCTCGAGGTAATTCGACTTTCCGTCCTGGATCAAGAATGTCACGACCAGCCCGGAGATGAAGAAGGCCATGGTCTCGAAGATATGGAAATGAAGTGTCATATCCACGTTCATAATCCATCCAAGAATGACCAGGAATGGCGTGACAAACAGAGCGATCTGAAGACTGCTTCCGATGGCAACACCAATGGCAAGATCCATTTTTCCTTTCCAGGCGACAACAACAGCGGTCACATGCTCTGCGGCATTTCCAACAATGGGGATGAGAACCAGACCGATGAATGTGCGACTCATGCCAGTCTTCGTCACAATGCTGTCAATACTTCCAACCAGATAGTCGGCGCAGATAGCAACCAAGACCGTGATGACAATCAATGCAACAGTGGCCGCCCACGGACTGAGCAAGTGCTCCTCCTCCTCAGCCTCTTCTACTTCGCCGCCCTGGTTCTCTGTATCATTCAGCTCATCGTTGGCTGCTTCGAAGAGCTCCGCATGCGACTTGAGCTGGAAGTAGAGGTACATCACATAGAGAACCAAAAGAATGATGGCAGTTCCGTGCGAGAGGATCAGGATGTTGTCACGTCTTTGCTCCTTATCGTTGGAGCCACTCAAAGAGGCGTAAAGGGTGGCGGGAATGATCAGCGAAGCAGACGAAACCGTCATCAGGGATGACATTGTCGACGCTACTGTGCTATTGAAAGATTGCTGCGAGTACTTGAGACCACCGACGAAGAAGCAGCAGCCGAGAACGAGCAGAATGTTGGACAGGATGCTACCAAGCATACTGGCTTGGACCACGCGGATTTGGTTGTCTTTCAGAGCAATGATACTGACCTATTCGTGCAATGCTTGTCAGCGCCGGGTCATAACAACTTATTAGACAAGAGTTTGAGATATACATACGATCAACTCCACAGCATTGCCAAACGTGGCATTCATCAAGCCTCCTAGGGCTTGGCCCATGGTGGCTGCCAGTTCTTCAGTCGCGAAACTCAGAAGAGAGGCCAGAGGGATGATTGCTAGGAAGTTCAAGGTGAAAATGACGGTGCTGTCCCAATGGAGAGCACCGGAGACGATACCGAGTGGCACGAAAATGAGCAGAACATTGACATAATCGCGAACGAGAGTCGACCAGGTCAAATGAGCCACACGCCTCGGCCAGTGAGACCAGTGCTGCTTCTGCTGTCGCGGACGGAGGCCGGAGTTACTGCGAGCAATGTCGCCGAGCAATGCTGCTCTCTCATCAGGCTCCGTGGAACCATTTTCAGATGATAGGCCCGTCATTCTCCGTTTGGGGCCCCAGGAGTAGCGTCTAAACGACTTGAAGATATTGTTGGTCGCTGTAAAAGCACGTTGAAATTTATGTTAGCCCAGTCTACCGAGCGTAGCACCTAATAGGACGAGGCGGGTAGATGTGAAAAGATGAGACAGAGGCTGGCAATGGTCGTCATTCGCCACGGATGGTGTTGTGAGAATAACAAATAAGAAAGGAATGGCGAGTTGACACGACAAAGCAGTTTAAACGAACAAAGAGTGGGGAAAGTGTAAAGCTTATGAACGACCGGATATACTGCCACAGAGTATACTGATCCCAGTGTGCGTGAAGAAACAACAAGCCGTGCCGATCATAGCCAGCCAGCAAGAAAGTGAGAAAGCAAAATGTAAAAGCAAACGAATGGAAGGACAATGATACCTGAATTAAGGAGGGACGTAGATGTGAAGAAACTTGAGGTGGGGAAACGGAATTAAGAATTAGGTAGGAGTAGGACTCGAAACATGGATGAGGAGTGCTAAGGAACGATGGTTCTCTCTCTAACACTTACCCATTGGGAAATGTCAGTCCTGTGGCGACAATCTGGAACCACAACAAACGGGGGTTGAGAGATATAAGCGATATGAGCGACTGGGTCTTCTGATCTAAAGTTTTTCCAGTCGTCTCTTGGTAACGGGGCTTAATCGAATTGAACAGTCGGTTGCCAATGTAGCACCCCGTGATCGGATGGAGCAAGTCTGATGTTGTGGCTTGTCGCGTGGGTAGGCTTTCTTCTGAACTTTGCTGTGCTTAGCAAAGGATTATCACAGCACAAGCCACCTTGCAGGCTTGGACACGGCGAATCAGGAATGGCTAGAACCGTGCGACGCGTGCACACGTTGAGCTTTTTTCCAGGGTGATGAATGAACCAAAGAAAGGGAGTTTTGCAAGGTACAGGGGCCAAGAGATGGTGGCTACGTACTCCAACCCGTACAAATTCTAGTGGTTAGACGAAAGAGTCGCTAAGCAGTGATCACGATTCCGGATGTTCCAGTGGCGGTGGTAATTGGTTGATGAGGAAATTCTGGTGGACCAAAGACTGAGGGGATGGACCAAAAGGAGGGAGGCAGCTGCACAGCCTCAATCCAGATCATCCAACGTTCCAGGGATTGATGGAGGGGGGAAGAAAGTGTGGAAAGCTGCCCAGTGTGATTGTGGCAGGGTGTGGGGGGTTTAAGTTGAGAAAGAGTAATAAAGTAGTAGTTACTCGTAGTGACTGACAGTCGTAATGCTACCTGAGACGGGTTAGAAATCTTTTTTAACTTGACTCTCTGGGCAGGAAGGGTACTTTTAAACGAGAGAATGATGGGAGTTGGATGACGATGACGTTGACCACTTCGCGGGAGACAATTGGGACCAGAGGATACTGCCCGAAGCCGACCGGGAAATGGAAGTAGTAGTACTTGAGAAGGAAAGTTTGAAAAGGAAGGACTGAAAAGTTAGGATTATTGGGTGTTTACTGGGTGGAAAGAGTGATAGACACCAGCGTGCGGACCAGCTTCTCCATGCCGGGTAATGGTGATGTCGACTAATGCAGAGGATAGATCGATAGAGCCTGAGCTTTTGCTTTCCCACCCGATGCAGGATGAGAAAGCAGCAGCAGGAATCGGCTGTTTGTGACGAGACTCGAGCTCCCGGACTAATCCGGGTGGGTCTGATGCTTCCAGCTCCAGCCACCTTCAATCACTTGAAATTTTGAAACTCCAATCTCAACTTGATACCTAATGCAGTTCAATAAATTAAGAAAGAAGTCAGCATGATAATTCTATCTACATACATAGCATCCTTCCTCAAATTTCAAATCCCCACTATGCCAGGGTCCCTCATCATGAATAAATTACTACTGATCAAACATACCATGTTCCTGGGACTGCCGTGACACCGGATGACGGTGGAAAAACCCACTCACTAGTTCACTATGCATTCTGCACTGCCACGATCAGGCCCACCCTCAGGGGAATGGCCCATGGCCCCCCTTTGACGTAACATGCTCATTCGTTCGTTACTCACAAAGTTCTGGACCATGAAGTAGCTGGTTTTGACTGCGTTTAAGATTTATGAGCTGGTTGACGGGTTTTGAAGATTGGGAGATTTGAACAACAAAAATCTGAATTCAGTCAACATGAATCGATTGATCATCCCACAGAGTCGCAACACGTTGCTAACATCCAACATGACATGCTGCCGGATTTGCTAATATTGGAAAGCCCGGAGATATTCTTGACAAAGAGTGACAGCAGCAGTGAACTAGAACTTAACAACTATGACATTATTACAGCGTCAGGTAACTAAGTAACTACTAATCACTTTCCTACTTCAGTAACTGTGATGCTCGTATACATCCTACAAAGTACCTTGACACTGACGAACGGCACTTCTCTCCGATTGGATACTACAGCCACATACACAGTGTACTGTAGAATACAGAATCAATAAGCGGCTAAGACATCCATCCAGCCACCTTAACTGCCTTACTACTTCAAGCCAAAAGAAATGAGCTTAAACTTCAAACCCTCGAAGAAATATGTTGTTGCCAGATGGATCACGGAACTTACTTAATACTTTACTTGGAGCAAGACCCAACTTGATCCGTGCACTCCTTTTTCCCGTCCCCCCGTCCCTTGCTATTTTGACCCACTTTCACTCATCGGTTGAGGTGCAGTTACCAATCAGATTACTGTGTTTGACACTTTGTTTGATTCTCAGTATACTAAGTGGTAGTTAGTCTATCGAGATGAGATTGAAAGTGTCGACTAATTACTTACTTAATATTAACTTAACTAGTCTAAATAGAATAGATTGGGTTAGGAGCTACTACCCAAACCCTCAACATTCCCTCTTAATGAGATAGATAGATTACTTTTACTGTGGCTTGTTCAAGTAACATTCCACAAATAAGCTGAGCCACAGGAACGAAGAGTATGGTATGTAT